AGTTGTAACTCTGTTCTTATTTAATGCTTACATAACTGTCTATAGGCAGCCTTTTGGCAATAGATCTGGCAAGGGTCATCTCATCGGCATATTCCAGCTCGCCACCAAAAGCAATGCCCCTGGCAATGGTGGTTATCTTCACGGGGATGTCCTGTAATTGCCTGGATATATAGTACACCGTCGTATCTCCCTCTATGGTTGGGCTCAGCGCCATGATCAGCTCTTCCACGCCATTGGCCCGTACGCGTTCATGCAGTGTTTTTACATTGAGTTGCTCCGGCCCCACACCGTCCAGTGGCGATAAGATGCCGCCCAGCACATGGTAGAGCCCATTATACTGCTGGGTACTTTCAATAGCGATCACATCCCGTATATTTTCCACCACACATACCTGGGTCTGGTTGCGCGACCTGTTTACACAAATAGCGCATACTTCGGTGTCTGCCACATTATGGCAGATCTTACAGAGCAGGATCTCATTGCGCATGCGGGCCAATGCGCCTGTAAAGTCTGCTACATCTTCTTTCTCCATCTTCAATAAATGGAGCACCATACGTAAGGCTGTTTTTCTTCCTACACCCGGTAAGTGGGTAAATGCCTGCACCGCATCTTCTATCAGCTTTGACGAAAAAACCATCGCGATAAAGGTAAATCAAAAATGGGAGGCTGAAAATAACGATCTTGATATTGCCCGTGTTGCAGGGTTTTTATCTCCCCTTTTTCGCGGGATAAATAAAAAAAAGTGTCCCAATTAATAAAGTTCTATTAAATTGCTGCAAAATTTAAAAAGAAATGAAAAAACTCTACACACTTCTTGCCGGCGCACTGTTGGTATCTGCCGCTGCAAATGCACAGCGCCTGGTTGACATCTCAGCTACTATGGTTGCACCAGCAGCCAACGCTACGATTACTTCCGGTACTGCCTTTGCGTCATCTATCGTGATCAAGAATGTTGGTACTACCACATTGAAAACAACAGATACGTTATTATACGCATACTCCCTTAACGGTAATCTTTTGTCTTTTGATGGTACAACAAACCCTACCGTTTGGTCCAGAACCGGTCGTCAGATGCTGCCTAATGATACAATGCATATTGACCGTAACCTTACTTTTACATTCCCTTCTTCTCTGAACGGTGCCCAGGATTTTTGCCTGGTAGCTGTATTAACTAACCGCAGCGCGGATTCAGTACGTGATAACATTACAACAAATAACCAGGGATGTAATTCAGTTACTTTCGCAGGTGGAAGCACTTCAGTTACCAACATCATAGCTTCTTCTACTTTGCATTCTGTAACAAATGTTTTCCCTGTACCAGTACGTAACGAAGCTAATTTTGAGCTGAACCTGGGCGAAAACACTTCTGTATCTGTACGGGTTACTGACCTGACCGGACGCGTAGTTGCTATCGAAAACAAGGGTACTATGAGCAAGGGCAAGCAAGCTATAAAGATAAGTGTTGGTGACATCGCCAGCGGTATCTACCTCTATCAGGTTGTTATGGGTGAAGAAGTAAAATCAGGCAAACTCGTTGTTGCTAAATAATATTACTTTAATAACTACAAGAGCCGTTTCAACTGAGTTGAAACGGCTCTTGTCTTTTAAGAGAGTTTCTC